AGATGGGAGGCTCCATAAGGGCAGGGCCCACATCTGTTATCTTAGTCACTCTATCCTCTGGCACATAGGAGGAGCTCAATAAATACCTGTCGAATGGACAGATTTGACCACATAAAAATTAGGAAGTGCTACATTAGGAGACACAATAAACAAAGTTGAAAAGACAAATGATGGTCTGGGAGAAAATAAAAGAATTAGCTTGAACTATATAAAATTCCCATGGAGGGATGTGTCAAAAATGGTTGAATATTAGCAATTTCATGTGGTTTGACCTAATATTTTTAACACATAGCAGATGAAAAATGAATATATCTAATCCACATAAAGCTCTTACAAAACAAGACCAACAGTCCAATAGAAAAAACTGGATAGGACTTCCCTGGTGGTGCAATGGTTAAAACTCCGCCTGCCAATGCAGGGGACATGGGTTTGATCCCTGGTCTGGGAAGACCCCACATGCCACAGAGTGACTAAGCCCGTGCACCACAACTACTGAGCCTGCACTCTAGAGCCCACGAGCCACAATTACTGAGCCCATGTGCCACAACTACCAAAGCCCACACGCCCTAGAGTCCAGGCGTGGCAACTGCTGAGCCCGTGCGCTGCAACTACTGAAGACTGTGCACCTAGAACTCGTGCTCCTCAACAAGAGAAGCCACCGCAATGAGAAGCCCACACACCGCAACGAAGAGTAGCCCCCGCTCGCCGCAACTAGAGAAAGCCCACGTGCAGCAACAAAGCCCAAAATAAATAAATAAAGTTATTTTTTAAAAAACGATAAAACTGGATAAAAGAATTTTTTTTCTTTTAAGCCTACAGCACCTGGTATTCCCAGGCGGTCTCCCATCCAGGTACTAACCAGGCCCAACCCTGCTTAGCTTCCGAGATCAGACAAGATCGGACACATTCAGGGTGGTATGGCCGTAGACTGGATAAAAGATCTGAACAAGCAGATGACAAAAGAAACAAATGCTAATACACAAAAGATAAACCACCTCACTGATGAGCAAGTGGAAATAAAAATTGAAACACAAACCATGGTTTATTTGCCAAATTGGTGAAACACAGACTAAAATACCCAGTTTTGCTAAGGATGTGAAGAGTGCACTCAAACATTAGTGGTTGGAGTATAAACTGCTGTAAACCTTTTTGCAGTGTAATTTTGGAGTGGTATCTATTTGGCATGTTTTTAGGACTAGTAATTTCTGTTCTATGGGCTCTCTTTCAGGGAAACATGTATTTTAACACGAATGCATAAGAAAATATGTACAAGGATATTCATTGAAGTATTCTTTATAATAGCTAAAAATTGTAGATTATTTAAATGTCCTATTATAAAAGAATTGTTTACTATAGTAAAATTTGATGAAAGTAATTGCTGAAAGTGATGAGGTAGATCCATATGTCCAAACTTGGAAAGCTGGCCGGATATTTGTGAATGAAAACAAGCAAGATAGAGAAAAGTATGGATAAGTTTGATCCCAGTTTTCTGGATACAACAAAGAAAAATAATATATGCAGCTCTATCCACACACAGGAAAAGGACTGGAAAAATACACACCAAGAGGTCAATAGTAATTATCTCTTGGTGATGGGGCGGGTAGAGGTGAGGTAATAACAATTCTATATTGCTTTTATTTTTTTAAATAAATTTATTTATTTGTTTATTTTTGGCTGCGTTGGGTCTTCGTTGCTGGGTGCAGGCTTTCTCTAGTTGCGGCAAGCGAGGGCTGCTCTTTGTTGTGGTGTGCGGGCTTCTCAGTGCAGTGGCTTCTCTTCGTTGCGGAGCACAGGCTCTAGGCACGCGGGCTTCAGTAACTGTGGCATGCGGGCTCAGTAGTTGTGGCACACAGGCTTAGCTGCTCCGCAGCATGTGGGATCTTCCCAGACCAGGGCTCGAACCCGTGTCCCCTGCATTGGCGGGTGGATTCTTAACCACTGCACCACTGAGGAAGTCCTTGATTTTTTAAAATGAGTATGTACCTCTACTGTATTTTTTTTTTTTTTTTTTAAGAAAAGGAGCAATAAGAAATGTGCTGCCTGCTTTGGAGCAGAGAATGGAGAAGAGGGAGCCACTAAGTTGAGATGCCACCAATCTCTAAGTTGAGATGCCACCAATTCTTATAAAGAGCACAAGTATTTAGGTCAAAAGACCTAGGGTTGAGTTTGGGAAGCTCATTTAAAATAGGTTGATACATCTACCTTAAAGAGATATTGGGGGCTACTAAATGAAATCAGGTAAGTCAAAGTACTCTGCAAACAGTAAAGTGCTTTAAAAAATCAGGGTTATATTACTGGTTGGCCTGGCAAGTCCTAGTTTGAAAACTGGAAAAATAAGGGTTAAAGGTACAAACTCCTAAGGAAAAGAGACATGGATGGGAACTGATAGATTAAGAGAGACTTAAGAGACATATCAACCAATTAGTAGAATGTATGGACCTGATATGAACACTGATTCAAACAAACTGTTAAATATATTTACGGGAATCAAGAAAATTTGAATAGTGTTATATATTAGATTATATTAAGGACCTATTATAACTTTTTAGATGTAATAATTGCATTACAGCTGTGAGTTTTTTAATCATTATCTTCGAAAGGTACATATGGAAACATTTATGGATGAAATTATATGGTGCTTGACATTGAGATTTGCTTACTCACAAAGATGAGTGGGTGAAGAATGGACAGAGTTATGAAGTTGCATGGCAGGTATATAAGGATTTATGGTATTATTTTTTCTACTTGTACATATGCTTGAAACTGAAAAGTTTTTGTAAAAAAAGAATGGGCCCCACCTTCCTAGTTCTAGGAGGAGGTACCAAATACCCATCTGAAGTCTGCTACAGAGATGAAACTGAGTACAGCCTTACCAAGAAAGGCTTCCTTGCTGAGGAGGGGCAGAGAAGCCCATGCTTCACTGTGTAAACGCTGTGGGTCAGCAATGGTTTCACTGGTCAGCAGGTGAGACTGACAAACCAAACACCCAGATCAGAATGCAGTCATATCTATCAAAGAAAGGCAAAGTGGACTTCCCTGGTGGTGCAGTGGTTAAGAATCTGCCTGCCAATGCAGGGGACACAGGTTCGAGCCCTGGTCTGGGAAGATCCCACATGTCGCAGAGCAACTAAGCCCGTGCGCCACAACTACTGAGCCTGAGCTCTAGAGCCCTCGAGCCACAACTACTGAGCCCATGAGCCACAACTACTGAAGCCCACACGCCTAGAGCCCGTGCTCCGCAACAAGAGAAGCCACCGCAATGAGAAGCCCGCGCAACACAACGAAAAGTAGCCCCTGCTCATTGCAACTAGAAAAAGCCCGTGCACAGCAATGAAGACCCAATGCAGCCAAAAATAAATAAATAAATAAATTTATTAAAAAACAAAAAAGAAAGGCACAGTGCTTGGTGGGGCTGATGGTAGCAATGGGATGGGCACCTATAGAAGGTAAAGGAAAATTTGGTACAAAATATAAATGACAGCTAACAAGATAATTAATATCCAATTAGAACTGCAGCTGCTGAGGATTTCCCTAAATTGGCATAAAAACTGGCAATGTCAGCATTCAGACCTCAAATGTAGATTAATGAATGGATTAATACCTTCCTAGGCTCATCCTTGAATACCATTTCAGAAAAGTACTACTGCAAGAATCAACCCCCAAATCCCAACAGACCAGCTGCAACGCTCTTTAATAAAGTTAAACCACACAGAATTAAGGGGCCTCTGAAAACTGACCTATTAATGTGAGGGGAAAATGAAAGTTCTCCAGCAAAAGCTTTATTTATATGCTTTTGCTTAGGGTCACTGGACAGAGTGGACAAGAGTGTGACCCTTCCACGCTTACTCCCAGTTCTGCCCTGGCTGCTGTCACTTAAGGGGAACAAGGAATGGCATCATTAGGTTGCCTTACGTTTTGAGTAATGAAAAATAAAAAAGGCTGCCTCATGAAAGACCAAAACACCAGGCCTTTGAGTCCCACCAGAAAACCTGAATGAAAAGGATCAAGTGAGACATTTCTTATGCCCTCCCCTCCAAGGGGCTCCACTCCAGTCCCCTTCTCATAACCATCCTACCCCCTTCAATGGCTTTCTACAAAAAGAATAACCCACCACCCTCAGAGTCTGAAGAAGAGGGTTCTGGTCCTAGCCCTGCCACTAATAAGTAGGCAAGGAATCTCACAATCCATCTGTGAAATGAGGGGAGTAGACGAATAGTTTTCTAAAATCCTTTTCAATGTTCTTGTTCCCACATGAACTTCTCTTTGACTAAGAGAACAAAGCATCAGGCCATGACAGATAGGTTTTCCTATGAGTCTTGAAGCACAAGTGACTGAGGAAACCAAAAAAGTGGAGGATCCTCGAAGCCTTTTAAGACTCTGCCTGATTTAGGCCTGGCTGGAGCAGGTGGCTGGAGCTGTAAGAAAACCTAACTGCTGCCGTGACAGCGAATCACTCTGTTCAAAGTGACAAGAACCCAGTGGGGTAAGAGGTGAAGAAAGAGGAGGAGAAACCAAGGTCCCAGAGCTCTCCTTGGCCCATGCCATTACCTCCAGTGTGGGCTGGATTCTGGCACCTTTCCTGCTCTATACGTCCACATCCTGCTCCTAAGATACCACATGTGAAACTGAAGTGTGAAGGCCTAATGTATAATCTAAAATTCCAGCTTTCACAGATGAGGGCCTGCATTTGAGACGCGTTCAAAATAATCCAAAAGGAAGCTCAGTCAAACCATCAAACCATCTGTTTATGGCAAAATGTAAATATATCAATTTGGTCATTCTTTGGCAAAGGTCTTCTTAGGTGAGATCTGTGACCATCTCGAGAGAGGAACTCCCGGCTGCTTCTGCAGCTGCTGTTGAAAGAGGTTTAGCTGTGTATTCTAAAGCCACTATCTTTTTTTCAGCAAGACGTGCCCACTGGCTGCACTCTTGGGAAAAACAAACAGACCACAGATAAGAAAGAGTAATAGCTTGTTCAACTTGGTACTCATGCTTCTTACCGACATATTCTGAGAGGAAGACGACAAAGAACGGAGTGACCAGGTCATTAATTCCTTGGACATACCCACTGGCAGGGTGTCGGATGGCCCAAATAAATAGAATTCTTTCGAAGATCTAGGAAAATGAGAAAAAAAGACGACACGATGTTAAATCACAGGGATACTCTCCCTCCCTCCATTGACCTACCTCACAATTTAACTCAGCGTTGCTACAGAATTTGTAGAAAAAATTTTAAAATATTGTGGACAAAGGCAGTCTACAAATATAAAAAGTGTCTAAGACACTAACTGTTTTTAAACAGGGGTAGGTGCTTCTTGCCCTTTCTCTTTTCAGTATCTAGCCAACGTGATATAAAATTGGGAAACGCAAAGGAGAGTGACACAAATGGCTTAGAAAAAGGTTTGCTGTGGATGTCATTAATTCAGGCCACCATGCTCATTTGTAGATGCTGTTTCTCTATTTCCAGGAGCAAGATATCAGAATATCTATGTTCTGATACATTTTCTAAATCTCTTTCGGTCATTACAGGATTTAAAGAGGAAACGCCTTCTTTACCACACTCCCCTTTCTCCCTGCTGAGACGGAAGGAGATCTAGATCTGGATTTAGTTCTAACCCAGCTTGACTAGGAACCAGTGACAGACTCTAAATGCAGGAAGTCATTTCACATATCAGGATGCAACCCAGACGTTTACTGGGGACAGGAAGCCAAATAAATCAAATCCTATGGACTCCTACAGCCAGGAACTTGAGAACAGAGAAGTCAGCCAGGGCCTCCAAGGGGAAAGCCTCTGGGGTTAAGTACATTAGCCACAAGAGGGCAGAGGACTAGACTGGGGAGAAAGAAAAAATCTTTTTTGTTTTGGCCGCACTGCACAGCATGCGGGATCTTAATTCCCCAACCAGGGATCGAATCCGTGCCCCCTGAAGTGGAAGCACGGAGTCCTAACCACTGGACCACCAGGGATGTCCCTGAAAAGATATTTATGGTCCTTTTACAGAGTCTGGCCCTGTCACATTCTGTTACACTCCTCTCTGTTTTCACTATGCCCTTGGAGCTTTTCCCCTGTCTTCTCTCAGCTTGCTGACACTCATCCCCTGGCTTCATCCTGCTGACCACAACTCCTGCGCCCAATACATTCCTTAGACAGGCTTTGACTGGGCTGCCTCAGGTCTCTGAACCACACCAGAGGGATGACAGAGGTGGTAATGACTACACGCGGAGGGACAGGAGATTAGGGGCCTCCACAGCACCTGGCTCTGCAGAGCCCAGAGTCAGTCAGCTCTGCAGGCAGATTGAAGAGGCCCTCTCGGAGGTCAGGTGAAAGGGAGAAAAAACCTCCCATTGGGAAAGGTAAAAAGGAAGTGGTCGTTTGGTTTTGGAGTTGGTTAGCCAGTGTAGGAGAGACGTGGAGAATCTAGACACAATAAAGGATGTTTCCCAGCCCTTGTGTTGAGTCTGCCTTCCAGCTGGCAGAGAGAGCCAAGAAACACTCCCACCGTCAACACCCCTGCCCTCACAGGCAGTGAGAGCAAAGCGCAGCCTGGAAGGAGCTGGCCTCTGCCTCCACTAGATGGGCCCACTTGCTCCCCGGGGCTGAAGGAAGGGTGTGGCACCCTCATTTGTGTTAGGCCCAACACTCCAATGGGACCCCTCTTACATTCTTTGCTGCTAAATACCCTCCTCCCTCCCTTGAAACTGTGGCTCAAGCTAGACCCACCACGTTCAGGAAGACCTCAGAGTTCCCTGCTCCACTCTGTCTCCTCACACCTCCTGTGGCCTGTGTCTGTCTGGATGTCTCTGTTAAAAGCTCTTCCAGATCAGTCCTTCTGAAGGACTTATCAGGGCTTCTACTTCACACTATCAGCTCCTTGTGAATACACAAATCCCTGGTGACTGGCTTAAACAATGGCCAAGCGCAGGGAAGCTAACCATTCAGAATCAGGAGACCTGCAATAATCCCTCTCTAGTAAGCATGGGACAGTGCAGACACACTCACACTGTACAAGTGAAAATGCCAAAGAGATGGAAATAGATGAGCACCAAGCCTGGTTACCAGGGGAGACCATGGAATCTTCCGTACAGAAAAAGCCTGGGACAGTCTTGTCTACCTCGGAGACACCTCTTCTACTAGTGTGGGTAATTCTCACTTACTATAGTCAATTCTCAAGTACCTTTAGGTTTATAAAACAAGTCTTTCAATATTCAATGTTACTTAATTTTCTGCTCCTTGGTTAGCAATTTATTCTGTTTATGATAACTACAGTCTGCTAGATGGAAAGGTGATTCAAGAAAAATTGGGAAGACTACAGTTTGAATTTCTTTCTCTGTAGGCAGGTTCCACTACTAGGAGAAGCCTTTTAAATAAACTACTTTCCCTGTCTCCAAATTTAAAGTAACCATGCACAGGTAAGAGAGAAGAATCTGAACATCTTCAAGTTAAAATGAGGAATAAGCAGGGCTGAGCCATGGGAAACTGAACGGGAGACACAAAGGGATCCTGGGTGGCTTTTAGCTTCCTTTGAGCTGACTCTTACAGGTAAAATAATGGTGTCACCCTCAAAATCTTCTTTATGCTACTGGTAAGTTATGAGGGATCCCATCAGTAGACACATCTATATTTAAACAGAATTATGAGTATAATCTAAAGTCAAACAGAAATTATTTTGAGCATTTTTTTATCACATTTTCTCTATTATGAGGATGAGTGAAAATATAATTCAAAGAGCACTTACATCCAGTATCCTAGCTACTATGAAGCTGCAAAGGAAATCCCTAATCTTGAGGAGTTTATATCAATACTTACTGCGTGGTCAAAAGATTAACAATCCCACTGAAACCTTTCATGTGCTTTGCCAACTTGTTAGGTCTCAACATATCACTACTAATTTGACTTCTGGGTAGGTATCCAAAAGAATTTAAAACAGGGACTCAGATATTTGCACACCCACGTTCACAGCAGCATTACTCACCATACCCCAAAGGTGGAAGCAACTCAAGTGTCCAGTGACAGATGGCAGATCAACAATATGTCTTATACAAATATAATGGAATATCATTCAGTCTTAAAAAGGAAGGAAGGGGGGCTTCCCTGGTGGCACAGTGGTTGAGAGTCTGCCTGCCAAGGCAGGGGACATGGGTTCGTGCCCTGGTTCAGGAAGATTCCATATGCCGCGGAGCGGCTGAGCCCGTGAGCCATGGCCACTGAGCCTGCGCGTCCGGAGGCTGTGCTCCGCAACGGGAGAGGCCACAACAGTGAGAGGCCCGCATACCGCAAAAAAAAAAGGAAGGAAGGGGACTTCCCTGGCGGTCCAGTGGTTAAGACTCCGTGCTTCCTATGCAGGGGGCACAGGTTCGATCCCTGGTAGGGGAACTAGGATCCCACGTGCTGCGCGGTGCGGCCAAGAAAATAAATAAAAATAAAAAGGAAGGAAATTCTGACACATGCTACAACATGGATGAACCTTGAAGATATTATGCTAAGTGAAACAAGCCAGTCACAAAAGGACAAATACTGTATGATCCCACTTATTTGAGGTACCTGGAATAGTCAAATTCATAGACACAGAAAGTAGAATGGCAGTTGCTGGGGGATGGAAAGTTATTGTTTCATGTGTACAGAGCTCCAGTTTGGGAAGATGAAAAAAAGTTGTAGAGATGGATTGTGGTAATGGTTGAACAACAATATGAATGTAATTAATGTCACTGAACTGTACACTTAAAAATGGTTAAAATGGTAAATTTTGTTACGTATGTTTTCTACACACACATACACACACACCACTACCAGCTAGATAAAGCAGAGCAAACACAGGACTAGGAATTCTAGGGTGTAGTTTCTGTCTTCATTCTGTCACCAGGTAGACTCAAGATGCTAGGCAAGTCCCTTAGCCTCTCAAAGTGCTACTCAGCCCACAGGTTTGTTATGAGGATCGAATGAGAATGCATAAGAAAGTGCTCTGAAAGGACCAAAGCTCCATATGTGAACACAAGGTACTATCACGATTAGCCTTAAACCTGCCCATGCCTGGAGGGAGGGCTAAGCACACATACACACAGATGGTGCCACAGAAGGATGGGGGGAGGAGGACTGAGAATGTTGAGCACTTCCCTCACCTCCTGTACAAGTGGTTGCTGGAACAATGGAATGAGAGGATTCGTCCTTGGAATGTCGATGTGAATCTGAAAAAGAGAAGCCGTATCCAAAAACACAAATGCCAGTTTGTTCTTTTGAGAAGTTTATTTTCTTAGGAACCGGAAATCAAGGGAGTAAGAGTGAGAGCACAATTTATCTTTAGAAAGAATTGACTGACATACAAAAATAGTCTAGTTAAACCTACCTACCTGTGCATCTGGAATACATTCCCATGACAGCAATAGCTTTATGAACAGTGAGGAAACCTTCCCAAATAAACCACTTACACCAAACAGCAATAGGTTTCACAACTTAAGAGAATCACCCGCTTTTTTCCTATATTGTCTGGAATCTGTTTTACTCTGGGCTGGTACTTATTTAACAGGTATGATCAAAATGTGTACGCCTCTTTCAGATTCTTACTCAACAGTTCCCAAGAAGTAAAAGAGCTCTGAAAGCTGCAAAAACATGCCAGGATAGAGAACTAGAGGGAGCTGGCCTTTAATAACTGGCACTGAAAGTTCTGACTTCTGTTACCAAAGAAATCATGATGATTGGTTTTGGCTTCGGGATTTCCCAATGTCTAACAATCCTAAGGACTGTGCCAATAGCCGCAGAGCCTACTTCAATTCTTGGAGCTTGTTATCGACAGTTGCCTCCCCCAGTATTTTCCCCTCTGCAACCACGAGACTCCCCTTCACACCCTCCACCTTTCCGCAGGCTGTGGGGACCACTATGTGCAATGATAGAACACTCCCTGCTAAGGCTGCTGATGGCTACGGCTCCTGCAGACAGACAAACGTGGTTGCTAAAGAGGCACTGCAGCTGCCAGAAGGACACACTGATGTCACAGTCCAGAGGGACGGACCACAGAGTGAACTCATCTTTCAGCTTGTGTCCCATAACCCTTACTACTCTCTGTGTGGTCCGTGGACCAGCAGCAGGTGGCATCACCTGGGAGCTCATTAGAAGTGAAGGTCTCACCCCAGACCTCCTGAATTAGAATCTGCATTTTTCCATAATCCCTAGTTGGGATTTTATCATAATCCTAGGTGACGTGTACGTACATTAAAGTCAGAGAAGCACTGCCACTGACCAGGACCCCCCAGAATCTATTTAAAATGGCTAAGATAAGAGCTACTGAATTAGAAAGAGGGGGAGTAGTTCTGGGAATAAATTTAATTCCTAACCAGCACACTGTAGCCTGAAGACTTGGAAAACTCGCACCCCAAGTGCACTTCCAGGAGCCACACCTTAAGGTTATGACTAGTGAGCAAAAGGGCAGCAGGCGATGACTGTACCTGTCTGTAGGTATCCTGGTGATGTTCCTCATTTCGAGAGTCATAATACTGTTCAATGAAGCCAAAATACTCCTCCCGCTTCCGCTGCAAGGTCAACTTCCTCCTCTCGGTGTTTGCTGGGAGATAGCCCTGTAGACAGGACTGCTAGTCAGATGGGGACAGGCACTGGTTGGATGAATCCTTAATTTTTATTTTAGCCTGAGCAGTGGCTTGGAAACTATCAAAGGAACCGAAAGAAAGCTGCCAAGACACAAGCGTAAATCCCATCTTGGTTCTGGCCACCCAGTGTTTGCCCTCTCCTCATTCAATGAGATGCACATGTGGGCAGATGAAGCACGGCCAACCAGGGTTATTTACCCCTGCACCACGCTAGGAGCGGGTACTGCTGGAGCACTGCGGAGCTCCGGAGCTGGCACAGTAGAGAAGCAAACGTAGGTCAGTAGGAGGGAACTGGACCCGAGTCAGGACCTCCTGGGGCTGCATGTGCACGAGGCAAACCTTCCCAGGGTCACGGGGAGGTGGCCGCCTCTGTGGCATATCTCAGTGGTGTGCCACGTGAGTCGGTGCCAGTTACACATTCTTTTCTACGGTAACATTCAGAATTACCAGCTTAGGAACGTGAATGGAATCTGTGACACAGCAGCTGCAACGTCCAGACACAGAACTGCTGGCAGCAGCCCCCCTCCTGGCCCCAGCTCCAGGTCAACTTACATTCTTATCCCTGGTCTAGATCCCACTCTCAATTCTTACACCTCCTGTTCCCCTTCCATTCTCACCACATCTACTTCTAATAGCACTGAAACTTAGAAGAAGCAGGGGCAATGATTACACGGCTGCAAGGCTGGGGGTGGGGGCAGTCAGGAGAGAGCCGTCCTCTTGCAGGCAGCTAAGGGATACATTCCATAGCGATCAAGCGAGCAAGCGCCTGGAGAGCAGGGGCTGTGCCGTCTTCACTTCCCTATATCCTCACAGCACCTGGCACCATGCCTGGCGAACAGCAGGCCCTCAATAAATCCTTATAGGATTTACTGAACGAATGAATGAATTTTACAGGCTCAGGAAATCAAAGTGTTCGTATCACAGTGACAGGCACAGTGCTCCGTTACTTAGTGAAAGTGGGACTAGCGCAGGCTTCTGAGGGAGGCCCGTTTATCAACTCTTCACAGTTGCAAAGTGGGTTCCAACCACCTTGGTTATTCCTACTGAAAGAGGAGGGAAGCCCAGGGAACATGGGAGCCTGTTCAAAGAAGTGCTTCTCGTGCCGAGAAGGCGAGATCAGGACTATAGGCACAAACGTGTGCTCTTCATGTGTGGGAATAAACTCTCAAGAACGTGTTTCTTTATGCAAAGAAACAGGACTACGGTCCCACAGGTCTGCCACATCCGGTAGGACTAGAGAAGTCTACGGTGCAGGACTTATGTGACCAGACTAACCTCAGCAGGTAAGAAGGGCTGTGTGAGGCTCACGCTTCTCTACACAGTGGGTAGAACTCACCGACAGGAGTCTCCAGGTTACAGGCCGAACCTCCCTGGGAACCCCTGGCCAGCTACACTTCCTCAGTTCATCTGCAAATAGATAAAGGCTTTGTTGGATTTAGCCCTTCCCACAGATGCCCTAAGACAAGCCTCAGCCAGCGCTGCCTGGTGCCTCCCACCGTTCCAGTAGGACGATTGCCATCGCCACCGCCACCACTGCCGCTGCCACCACCGCCACCAGCTACCGACAAGCACAGGGAAAAAGCCCAAAACACAGCCCTGAGCAGCAAAGTGCTCTGCAGCAGTGATCCAGTCAGCTCAGAGATTAGAGTTAGAGGGGAAGAGAAAGGCCAGTAGGTGTGGATTTCAATAAGAATCACCTGGAGGTAGGGGAGACCAAAGCCAGAATAGCTACAGGCCACAGAATCCAGTCCCACCTCATTTGGTCCCTAATTCCTAGTAACATATTTCTGACTTAATACCTGCTTGTCACTTCAATGGGCACCAGATCAGGAGATGCTGGAAAAGTAAAAGAAGGAAGAATAAAGAGCAATAGCTTCCAGGTCTCTGAGAATTCCAGTCACCAAGAGGTCCTAGCTTTTGCCCAGGGCTCACGGGGACTCACCTAAGTCGGTGTTGTGGCTGGAGAGAAGCTGACGGAATTTTTCTAGGCGGGTTTTCTCCCGGACAGTCATCGGGGGTGCCCCAGAAGCGTTCTGGTCCGAGATCCGGGCAACAAGGGGGATGATGGGTCGGAGAGGGAGTGACTGCTGTTTGTGGAGTGGGTTCCTCAGGCATGTATCACCTGAGATAATTTGAAAGAGAAAGAGAACAAGCTGTGTGAAGAGCAAAGATTCTGAGAAACCTTAAACCTGACTGTTGAGCACTGGTCTCCTCCACCAGAGCTGCAGCTTCATGGTTTGTGCGCTGCCTGAAGGTGCTCAGTGTGGAGCAGCCAGGGGATGGAAACCCAGCTGCGCTCCATTCATCTGCCTGGGGGAAGGGCTGCGTTTTTATCATACATACCAAGGCACCTTATGTGCAAACAGAGACTCCAGCTGCGGTAGCAAATTTGACATCTTTTTTTGTGACTTCAGAGGAAAATCAATTGTTTTCTTTCTACCCCAACCTGGAACTTTTCTTGGTGCCTAACAGTAAGTTTTGGGGCAACATGGTCAAAGGCAGTGCTTGCTTTCCTTTTCCATGTCACAGAGCACAGAGAAAATGACACTGTAAAGCACACCGCAATGAAAGGAGGTGGCTGCTCTCCCGAAGCCCCAGCCCTAGCCAGCTGCCCCAAGGGCTGAGAGGGTCAATACCTCTGGCACAACTCTCACCTGTTCTTGGCCCACTAGTTGTGCTCTGCACACAGGTGAGAGGCTCTGGCCTAAGGCAGGTTCCTCTGGGCTCGCATATTTCTCACCAGCCAATCACATTTCTCTAATTGAAATAACAGGAACACAGACTCAAGCTGAACTCTGTGTCCAGTTCTAGACACTTCTAAACTAGATGGTAGGTAGAAGAAATGAGCAGTATAGGACTAACATTTATTGAACGCTTATTAAGGCACTGTGTTGGTCACAGTTATATATGACCTCTCATTTGATGCTTACAACGTACAGTAGGAATTTATCACTATTTTAGAGATTAGGAAACTGTAGCTCAGAAAAGTTAAGTAATTTGCAAGAGAGAGCTGAGATACCACCTTAGGTCTGCCTGACTCCAAAACCCTTATTTATTTTACTACCCCAAATGAAACTCAGTTTTAAATTCTGACTGTCCTTTCATGACTGTTTCATATTCTTTACATATTAGGGCCTTAAAAAGTAGTCGTCGTGGGCTTCCCTCGTGGCGCAGTGGTTAAGAATCTGCCTGCCAATGCAGGGGACATGGGTTCGAGCCCTGGTCTGGGAAGATCCCACATGCCGCGGAGCAACTAAGCCCGTGAGCCACAACTACTGAGCCTGCGCGTCTGGAGCCTGTGCTCCGCAACGGGAGAGGCCGTGACAGTGAGAGGCCCGTGCACCGCGATGACGGGTGGCCCCCACTTGCCGCAACTGGAGAAAGCCCTCGCACAGAAACGAAGACCCAACACAGCCAAAAATAAATAAATAAATTTATTAAAAAAAAAAAAAAAGTAGTAGTCACAACAAGAATGAAACAGTGAATACTCATCAACCAGCATGACAAGAAGGTTTACAGAAACAACTGCCACGGAGTACTTGGCTTGGATGCCTAGTGTTACACGGGGCCTAGAAAACGCAGACCACACGCTGCAGAGCTCAGACCAGTGTGCACTTTCGGAATCAGTGACTAACAGACAGATGCTCCCAGGAGGGAACCTCGTAACAGGAATGCTCTGGGAAGTCCTGGCTGCACAAGGGCAGCTCATTAGGGATTGTGGGGGGACCTTCCCTCACACTGGGACCCTGTGGAGACCCTCAATCACGTGTGAAGACACTTTCCACAGCCTGTAGCTGTGGCCACCTGGTCAATGGACACTGAATGCCTGTCCTGGGCATGTCATTGAAGGTTCGAGCTGGGGCCCGACCGAATCAGCCACGGAAAGTGACTATGGAATGATTTTAAAGGCCTTTCAGCCTAATTTCCTGACCACAACCTTAGTCTGAAACTGTAAAAGAAGTTCTCTTAGAACATGAGCCAGGACACGTGCCAAGGCTCTGACATTCTACTTTCTTTTCATCCTTTACCAGTCAGCTGTTTTAACTTTCATTAGCTTGAGGGCACTTCCCCCTCCAGCTCAGAATAACTGGCTTCCATAAAACCCTTCAGGGCAACATTAAATACAGCAATGGATATTTAAAAGAGTACACTGAGCATCCCCAAACATCTGATAAAACCACCATCATCTCAACCAGTTACTGCTGCCAGTTTCCTGAAAAGAAAGGGTATCTCCTCCCGCCCCACCCAACCTGGTGGGCAGGGAGCCATGACACAGGGACTCCGTCCCTCAGGAACAGGAAAAAGACAACCTATGCTAGTGGCTGTTGCCCACAGCTGAGGAGGTCAACCAACAGTGCCAAACATTTGTGAAATTCAGCCACTAACAACTGTAACTACATATAGTCAATAGTCTTCAACCTGACCAGGCCTAAAGCAATGTGAAGCAACCAAACCACAGAAGTTTTGGACCCCACCACAGGTAAAGGGAGAAGAGAATGGCAGGCAACACTCGGGTGTCAGGAAGTGAAACCCCGGGTCCCAGGGCCTGGCAGCCATCCAGGTGGGAGGAGTAAGTACAGCTTAGGACCAGTTAGGCTCACTGATGTCCCTCAGGCTTGAGCTCGCCTATTTATCATCCAGTGGAAGATCTGAGGGAGGCCCTAAAAAAAACTGTTTTTATTTAAAATGCACTCTGCTGAAGAGGCTGAGCCTAAGGAGGGAAGCTGGACAGACTTACTGGAATTTCTGGACAGCTGGGCGTCACTGCTGGACTTTATAACCTTGTAGCTGGCAGGAACATCGGATGTCGTTGACTGGGACCGTTCTGGTTTCACTCTCAGCTTGCTATGGTTTTCTAGCACTTGGGCAGCAGTTGCCAAAGCAACTTTTGAGTTCAGAGTTTGGAAAGAAGGGGAGGAAAAGTCCTCTTCCTCATCATCGCCAATGTCCCAAGCATCACTGGTGTTCCGGGCAAACTCATGAAAACTGGAGGCCTTCTTATTCTTCAGAGGAACCGTGCTGACTTTTGACCGCTCTTTAATGAAGCTTTAAGAAAGGAGACACCGTTACGAAGGAATGGTCTGACACATCTGACCATCTTCACTTGCTTAATATAATATTAATAGTATTATAAACTATCTCATGCACAATCATTACCTTCTTCAAACAAAAAATATCCATTTCCATTCCTCATCTGATGCATCCAGACCACCTCTATGCTGCAGAGCCAGACAAAACAAGGACAGCAACGCTCTCCAAATATTCCATGTGCTCCTCTATACTTTCCAGCCCCCCTGCACTTAGGTGATGCTATATGACAAGTTCTGGCCAATGGGCTAAGGAGAGAAGTGAGGCAGTCCCTTCGGAGCCAAAGTATAAAAGAACAGGTGTGAGTTCTCTGTAAGCTTTCTTCTATCATGACAACTCCAGATGGTGGCGCCTCCCTCAGCCTGGATAACAGAGTGACCACGTGGAGCAGAGCCTGCCCACCACACGCACCTGACTCTACTCTGGACAGGTGGTGTGAGTGAGAAATAAGCCTTTGTTGTGTCAATCCACTGAGATTTCAGAGTTAATCTGTTATGACAACATAACCTAAACTATTTTTTAAAGCAGGACATCAACTACTGGTAGAACAAGAGACAATTTTAAGTAGCCCACATGTATTATGAAACACTGAGTTCCAAAATGAACAAGCTGTTCCCTTTTTATTCTGTTAAAGTCCTGCTGCCCTTGAGGAGAGATCTGAGTTCGCTGCCACTCTGTCTTTACGACTATTTTTTAACAAAGTGAGGGCAGTCTCAGGATCAACATTTTGTAAGAAGAGAATCTGGCTTAGAATTTAATTAATAGGACTGTTTTGTGTTTCACTGTATTTATTTTTAAGGTTACTTTCTATTTTGGGCAAATGATACTGGTTTTCCACTTAGGGAACTAATAAGGTTTATTTTAAAAATAAATTAACTGAGTATATACGAGTTTATTTTTTCAAATGTATTTAATAAATAATAGCGTAGAACACAGCAAAAAAATCATGGAGACAGTACATGACTGAATAATAGAAATAAAGTGCACAATAAATGTAATGCACTTGAATCATCCCGAAACCATCTCCCCATGCCACCCCCCAGTCCATGGAAAAACTGTCTTCCATGAAACCAGTCCCTGGTGCCAAAAAGGCTGGGGACCACTGATGTAGACCTTTCCTACTTTCCTGCACTTTTCCTCTTCTTTTTTTTTTTTGGCTGCACCATGTGGATTGCGGGATCTTAGTTCCCTGACCAGGGATCGAGCCCGTGCCCCCTACAGTGGAAGCGTGGAGTCTTAACCACTGTACCGCCAGGGAAATCCCCCTGAACTTTTCCTCTCTGTGAACCCCCTAACGTCTGGGGGCCCTTATTCTGGTTCCAGGGGACTAGGTAGTTGGGACATTTCTAATTCAGTCTTAATTAGCATCCCTGAGGACTGGAATGCGAGGCATAAAAACATCATTAAAATGCCTGTTTCCCTCAGCAAGGCAGGGCAACTCTAGACTAAAAACAAGGCTCTGCTGGAAGAGCTGAAGTTCCCCCATTTCCCAGAGATGTTGGGTAGAGGTGGGTGGTCTAATACCCATCCCATCTCCCTAGATACGTCCAATAGTTATTCTGAAAGATAACTGTTCCTAACATTGATAAATACAGACTCGTAACTCATACAGCTTATCGGAAAGTCCCTATTATTAACACCAAAAAAGATATCACTGAGGCATATTTTCAAACACTAGTCTCCCACAAAGGAAAGGAAAATATATCACGCTATCACTCAGGATGCAGGAGATAACATAAGATTACAAGAAGTAACAGTTCAAACGTGAAGGAGGGCTTCCCTGGTGGCACAGTGGTTGAGAGTCCGCCTGTCGATGCAGGGGACATGGGTTCGTGCCCTGGTCCGGGAAGATCCCACATGCCACATGCCATGGAGCGGCTAGGCCCGTGAGCCATGGCCGCTGAGCCTGCGTGTCCGGAGCCTGTGCTCCGCAACAGGAGAGGCCACAATAGTGAGAGGCCCGTGTACCGGAAAAATAAATAAATAAATAAATAAATAAAATAACGTGAAGGAAACAAGATACCATTCTCCACCCACTAAATCAATAATGATTTAAAGATGCATCCTCTTTGGTGCTAAGGTGTAGTGAGACCAGCTCTCTAATACTGCAGGTGGGAGTGTATGTTGTACCACCTTCTGGAAAACAATCTGGCAACATACACACCATGAGCCTGAAAATGATTCATAATTTCTGACCATAAGAAAATAATCACTGAATCAAACAAAGGTGATCTAAAACAGTTTATAATGGTATTATTTATTTTGGTTAAAAACTACAAACAATATAAACATCTAGAAATTGCAAATGATGAGATATATTATGTTTCAGCCACCAGATGGAATGCTATACTACTTATCGAAAATCACATCTTGAAGGCTATTTAATAACACTAGAAAATGATCTCAATAAAGTGAAAATTGAACCAAAATTATAGATTTTTTATTATCTCTATATTTCTTAGAAAGTACATGCACAGAAAAGACCAGGAATAAAATGCATCAAAATGTTAACATTGCTTATCTCTGGGCTATGGAATTATAGGTGATAAATTTAATTTTTATACTTCTCTGAATTATTCATGTTTTCTACAATGAGCATATTATTTTTATTAATCACTGGAAAAGGTTGTTTTGTTGGCTTTTGTCAATCCCCAAAGTAAGAGTACTGAATGAACAATCAAAAATGAACAAGAGGGCTTCCCTGGTGGCGCAGTGGTTGAGTGTCCGCCTGCCGATGCAGGGGACACGGGTTCGTGCCCAGGTCTGGGAAGATCCCACCTGCCGCGGAGCGGCTAGGCCCGTGAGCCATGGCCGCTGAGCCTGCGCGTCCGGAGCCTGTGCTCCGCAACAGGAGAGACCACAACAGTGAGAGGCCCGCGTACCG